GTCAAAATTGAGTAAGAATTGTTTTCTCTGGTTAGGAAAAAGGCTATTTCTAATACTTTTTTTTTCTTTTAACATTGATGACAAAATACTTTATAAGCTTCTACTATTATCGAAAACAAATTTAAAATAGTACTACTGGTAATCTGCTCCACATGTTACGAAACGAAATGATGGAAAAGCACTACTGGTTCTCAGAGTAAATCTAGTTTAGAAAACCCATCTTCTCAAACTTTAGGACTGCAACCAATGCCGTGTCCAAACCAAAATGTATTCGAGGTAGAAACTGAGTCCACAGAAATCAAACCAAGGTAATTACAAATGGAGGGGAAATATCCTTACCATCTAGAATTAGAAGTAATGTCACCCATTCTCTAAATCATGTAGTGACTGGGTTAGCCAACCAGCACTTTGGCTTTTTTGTTTGTTTTTGGCAGCCTTGTATTGCTCTTGAACAGTAATGTTGAAAGAAATAAAGTTACAGAAGTCTAAAAGTCAAAGGACCTAATGTTCTAAAGAACAAGGGTAAATTCGGTTGGCATTTTAATATTAGCAGGTGGTATTCTATGTCATCAAAATTTACTTATGTGTAATATCATTTAAATGCTTTGAATATAAGCCATAATTAGTCAGCCATGCAGTGACTCTCCTACAACTGATTTAATAATGCTACTGAAAATAAGCCTCTTTTAAAAGTATATTCATGATCAGAAATAAATTTAATAAAAGCAGACAGTATCTTACTAATAGCCTACTGATGTCAAATCTGGAAAGAGTAAAATGACTTAAGACTCCATACTGCTTAATTTAGTATATTGATTTTATATGTTATTTTTTAAAAGTATGATTAATTTAACACAGAATTAAGTTGATTTTAAATAGAGCTAAATTACTCCTATATGTATATTTATTTAAGTAAAGTGTATTTCCAGTAAAAAATTATTAAAGAAACTTATGCCATTAAACAGACTATCTCCGAGCATTACAGATGGTAACACTAACCTTAACATTTAAGTTTCTAAATAAACTTACATGGATACAACAGACATTTTAAGTAGCCATATCAACTGCAGCTACATACTGCTAAGTACCCTAGTGGTCACCCTACTAGCAGACAGGGTTAGTCACTAAGTGGACGTAAGTTTGAGATGCTTGTGAGATATCCATGTAGACAGGGTGGACATTTGGGATATGCATAACCTATAGTTCCAGAGAGAGATCCGGTCTGGAGACAGATTTGGGAATACAGGCAGTACCCGGATTACGAACAAGTTTCATTCCTAAGTCTTTCCTTAGGTTGAATTTGTACATAAGGCACAACAGTTAGGTACAGTCTGTATCTAACATCACAAAGTCAAATGTTGTCTTAGTATATAGTATACAGTGTACATTTCTATGCATAAAAAAACTGAACACTTCTAGATACACTAAAACATCTTTGACATAATACAGTAATAATTATGATGTTTTGATGCGCGTTGCAAAGTAGCACCTGTTTGTTATTATGAACCATTGTACGTACCTCAAATTTTTAATACAACAGGCTTTAGAGAGGTTAGTTCATAACTACGGGTTGTATGTAAGTCAGAAGTTTGTACCTCGGGGAATGCCCGTTGTTAAACCTGAAATGTATCTGAAATCTGCCCATTTCTTCCATCTTCACTATCACAACTACAGTCCAGGTCACCACCACATCTTAGCCAGACCACTGCAGCTCCAATCTACACGAACTGCACTCCACATAGTTGTGTTCTGCATAGTCATACACAAGGGCCCTGACAATATCTTCCTAAAATGGTCTCCCTACTATCTATGCCTGATCCTCTTAATCTGTTCTCTATACTATGCAAATGGTTAAAAGCTTGACTACTAACCGAAAGACTGGCAGTTCGAACCCACCCAGATGTACCTCAGAAGAAAAGCCTGATGATCTGCTTCTGAAAGGTCACAGCCTTGAAAACCTATGGCGTGCGGTTCTACTCTCACACGTGGGGTCACCAATAATCAGAATTAACTCGATGGCAACTAGTCTGGCTTTTTTCATTCTATAGCTAAGGTGATCTTTATAATATATAAATCTGATAACATCTCTTTCCTGCTTAATCCATCAAGGGGACCCTTAAGGCAAAGTTCAAACTCCTTAACATGGTGTATAAGACCCTGCATGATTTAGGGTCGCTATGTGTCGGAATCAACTTGATAGCAACAGGTTTTTTTTTTTTTTTAACCTCTCTGAAAGGAGTCCTGGTGGCCCAGTGGTTAAGTGCTCAGCTGCTAGCTGAAAGATCAGAGGTTTGAACCCACCAACCACTCTGTGGGAGAAAAGATTTGGCAGTCTGCTTCTGTAAAGATTTACAGCCTTGGAAACCCTATGGGGGTAGTTCCGTTTTGTCCTATAGGGTCGCTAAGAGTCTCAATCAACTCAACGGCAGCGGGTTTTAACTTCTCTGAACACATCTTCTGCCACTCTTCCCCTTGTTCTCCCCACTCCACACTTTCTTCCCTCTGGATCTTTATAAATGCCAATCCTTTTGCCTAGAACCCTTTGTTCCACCTAGCCCTGGCTAACTGCTGTTTCCCATTCATATCTCAGCTTAAGTATCTTAAAGGAAGCCTTCTCTAACATCCCAGACCAGTGCGGGGGCAGGGGGGCAATTCTATTCTCCCACAGTACCCTATACTTTTTGGTAACATTCATCACACCTGAGATGATTTAATGTACATCTTTTCTGACTGACTAAAAGCTCCATGCGGCAGAGCTAGTTGTCTGTTTTGTTTATTGCTTTATGCTCAAATATTTGTTGTCTGGCAGACCTTGGTTCTATCTCTGCTGATACTTAACTTTTAATATCTGTAAAATGAGACAGTTGACTTTCCTTCTACAATAATCTAAATGCTAATCAAAAATAAAATTCAAATATTATTAGCTTTTCTGTAGATACACACATGTAAGACCTACATTTCTTAAGTGTGTGAACGTATATGTGTGTGTCTGTGTGCAGAAAGGTTAGCAGTTTCTTATATAAAAAAAATTCACTGAATGCTTACTGATACCAAGTATTGTTTTAAATGCTTTACTATTAGCTCTTATAATCTTCGTAACAACCTTATCAGCTAGTACTATCATTAGTTTCCATCTTAAACATGGAAACAGATAACAGAGAAGTGGAATGATATGGCCAACATCACAAACCTTTATCTACATTCCCAAGCTAGTGCTCCTCTACTTGAAATTAGTTCAGACTATACTAACCCTGTTCAAATACTTCTTGTGCTTGTTCTTGCTATTCTAACATCTGGATTGCCTATCTTTCCTACCATTCAGTGAAAACCCTAACATTTAAGGCCTAACTAAACGACAACTTCTCCATTAATTCCCACCCCAACCTCTTTTAGGGATTTTTAATCCCTCCTACTACATTCCAATAGCAGTTATCTCTGTCAACAGCACAAAAGAAACAATATACATGGACTCACTCTGTAAACACTAAAGTTCTATACCTTATAAAGTACTTAACCCAGACTAAGTCAAAGGAAATGTTAACCAGAGAAAGAGAATAGAAAACAATGGACTCAACATCCCTAAGCAGAGTACTCTGAGCAAGTACAACCTGTTGAAGAGAGAAATACGATATTCCTGAAAAAAATTTTACCGAGCAATTTATCATTCGAGTGCAGAATATTATGCTAGATACTATGTTTTCCATTTTGCTTCATGATCTTCTCATTTCCTAAATCTCAATTCTCCACTTGAGAAGTATTTGGAAAATATTATCATCACAGTTTGTTTGTTAGCATAACATTTTTAACACTCACTTGCATTCTGATATGGCCTGTAAGTAGAAGAGAAAGGAAAGGGCCATTTATACCTAGTATTCTAGGCCAGAGGTCTCCGGTTGGTGCAAAGGAATTTTTGTGCTGAGCTGCTAACTGAAAGGTTGGTAGTTCGCACCCACCCAGTGGCACCATGGAAGAAAGGCCTGGCAATCTGCTTCTGTAAAGTTTACAGTCAAGAAAACCCTATGGAGCACATCTACTCTGTAACATATTGGTTGCCATGAGCCAGAAGTGACTTGACATAACGCTATTGCATTAGGAGGCCATAGGAGTCCCTGGGTGGTACAAATGGTTAACCTGCTCAGCTGCTAATTGAAAGGCAGGACGTTCACCTGAAGGTTGGAGGTTTGAGTCCACCCACAGGCACCTCAGAAGAAAGGTTTAGCAATCTACTTCCAAAAAATCAGTCATTGAAAACTCTACAGAGCATAGTTGTGCTTACACACATGGGGTCGCCATAAGTCAGAATCAACTTGACAGGAATGGGTACCCCTACTTATTCTTCAGGTCTCAAATTGGACTTACTTCTTCCAGAAAGCCTTCCCTAACTTTACAAAACTAGGTTTGCTGCCCATGATGAATTCCCATGACACCCTGAGCTTATATCCCTGTTGCAGTGCTCATCACACTGTATTTAATTGTCTGTTTACTTAGCCATCTCCTCCACTAGACTGTAAGCTTCTTGAGGGCAGGGGCATGTCTTCATTATCATTGTATCCCCAGAACCATGTGCAGTGCCTAGAAATTAAAATGTGCTCAATAAATAACTTGTTACCTAACCAAAAAAAAAAAAATTATCACAAAAGAAAACTTTTAAAGTATTATCTTAATTCCACTTGAACAGTATGCTACTTTAAAGTAGTAATTGCAGGAAGTTTACAGTAAATTCATTTGTATGAAGCACTACTAATGGAAAAGTTTATAAAAACAAATAGATAATAAGTTTATTAAATGTTGATGAACCATTAATAAAGTCAGCATATAAACCTCTATTATGACTACAAAAGCCATGTCACCAACCCTCACTTTTTGGGGAAAGTTAGTTCTTATCCCCTCTGTGTTCTCACAGCATTTGAATCTATGTCTAGGAGGGTGTGTCTCACACTGCATCTGATTCCTACCATATACTAATAAGCATTTAATATTTGTTAAATGATTATCTTCACCTTCTAAAAATTATTTAAATCTTTTTGTTCTTCTAAACAGCAAGATAATTTTCCATTAAGCTTTCTGATTACAGGCACACCCTGTTGATATTTCCGGTTCGGTTCCAGACCACTGCAATAAAGCAAATATCACAATAAAGCAAGTCACATGAGTTTTTTTGGTTTCCTAGTGCATATGAAAGTTATGTTTACACTACCGGTAGTCTGTTAAGTGTGCAATAGCATTATGTCTAAAAAAACAATGTACATACCTTAATTAAAAAATGCTAACCATCACCTGAGCCTTCAGTGAGTCATAATCTTTTGCTGGTGGAAAGTCTTGCCTCAGTGTTGACGGCTGCTGACTGATCAGGGTGGTGGTTGCTGAAGGTTGGGGTGGCTGTGGCAATTTCTTAAAATAAGACAACAATGAAGTTTGCTGCATTGACTGACTCTTTCCTTCACGAAAGATTTCTCTGTAGCACATGATGCTACTTGACAGCATTTTATCCACAGTACAACTTCTTTCAAAACTGGAGTAAATCTTCTCAAATCCTGCCACTGCTTTATTAACTGCTTCATGTAATATTCTAAATCCTTTGCTGTCATTTCAACAATGTTCACCAGGAGTAGATTCCATCTCAAGAAATTACTTTCTGTGCTCATCCATAAAAGGCAACTACTCTTCATCCATTAAAGTTTTATCATGAGATTGCAGCAATTCAGTCACATCTTCAGGCTCCACTTCTAATTTTAGTTCTTTTGCCATTTCCATCACATCTGCAGTTACTTCCTCCACTGAAGTCTTGAACCCCTCAAAGTCATCCATGAGGGCTGGAATCAACTTCTTCCAAACTCCTATTAATGTTGATATTTTGACCTCCTCCCACGAATCACGAATGTTCTTAATGGCATCTAGAATGGTGAATCCTTTCCAGAAGGTTTTCAATTTACTTTGCCCTGATCCATCAGAGGAATCACTATCTATGGCAGCTATAACCTTATGAAATATATTTCTTAAATAATAAGACATGAAAGTCAAAATTACTGTTGTGTTAGCAGGCATGGAAACAACATTAATCTCCTTGTACATCTCCATCAGAGCTCTTGGGTGACCAGGTTCACTGTCAATGAGCAGTAATATATTGAAAAGAATCTCTTCTTCTGAGCAATAGGTCTCAACAGTGGGCTTCAATTATTCAGTAAAAAATGTAAGCAGATGTGCTGCCACCTAGGCTTTGTTGTTCTATTTAAAGAACACAGACAGAGTAGACTTAGCATAATTCTTAAGGGTCCTAGGATTTTTGGAATGGTAAATGAGCATTGGCTTCAACTTAAAGGCAGCAGCTAGCTGCATTAACCCCTAAAAAGAGAGTCAACCTGTCCTTTGAAGCTTTGAAGCCAGGCATTGACTTCTCCTCTCTAGCTATCAAAGTCCTAGATGGCATCTTCTTCCAATATAAGGCTGTTGCTTCTACACTGAAAAATCTGTTGTTTAGTGTAGCCACCTTCATCAATTATCTTAGCAAGATCTTCCGGATAACTTGCTACAGCTTCTACATCAGCACTTGCTGCTTCACTTTGCACTTCTTTCCTTAAACCTCATGAACCAACCTCTGTTAGCTTCAAACTTTTCTTCTGCAGCTTCCTCGAATTGAAGAGAGTTAGGGCCTTGCTCTGGATTAGGCTTTGGCTTAATGGAATGTTGTGACTAGTCTGATCTTCTATTCAGACCACCAAAACTTTCTTTACATCAGCAATAAAGCTACTTCACTTTATCATTCAAGTGTTCACGGGAGTAGCACTTTTAATTTTCTTCAAGAACTTTTCCTTTGCATTCACAACCTGGCTAACTGTCTGGCACAAAAGGCCTAGCTTTCAGCCTGTCTCAGCTTTTGACATGCCTTCCTCACTAAGCTTGATCATTTCTAACTTTTGATTTAAAGTGAGAGATGTGCAACTCTTCCTCTCACTTGAACACTTAGAAGACTTTGCAGGGTTATTAACTGGCCTGATTTCAATATTGTCGTGTCTCAGGGAACAAGGAGGCCCGAGGAGAGGGAGAGAGACAGGGAAAAGGCCACGCGGTGGAGCAGTCAGAACACACACATTTATCAATTAAGTTTGCCGTCCTATATGAGCGCAGTTTGCAGCACCTCAAAACAACTACAATAGTGTAACATCAAAGGTCACTGATCACAGATCACCATAACAGATATAACAATAATGAAAAAGTGTGAAATACTGCAAGAATTACCAAAATGTGACGGAGAGACACAAAGTAAGCACATGTTGGAAAAACGGTGCCGACAGACTTGCTCAATGCAGGGTTGCCACAAACCTTCAATTTGTAAAAAATACAATATCTGCAAAAGTGCAATAAAACAAAGCGTGCCTGTATTTCATCCATACTTCTGAATTATTACCTTTAAATAAAGGTAAATCAACAAATGTGTTTCCAAAAGCCTAACCAATCAGTATTAAGCTATTAAACACAACTTCTTCTCCAAAACTTAAGAATGGCCCTAGTTGTACACAAAAATGCAGACAAACTTTTAAATACTGGAAAGAGCTAGAGCATTAGATTTCAAAGCACTAACACTCATATGTATTTGCAACAGAATGACAATCCCATGACCCTTTCACATGTTTCCCAAAGGACCTTTAATAGATTCTTAAATGCTCTCTCTACTAAGAAGAAAACAATTAGGGCAAAACAACAGGGTCAGAGCTTTTTGACATGTAAAATCAGTGGGCAGAATAAAGTTATAATAATATTAAAAGAAATGAAAGCTTAAGGCTTTGCCAAGATTTTAAGAAAAAAAGATATGATCAGTTCCCAAATTAAAATTACCCTAAAGAGGATTCTGATAAGATAGCAGCTGTGGTGGCAGCATCAATTTTTTATTCCTTGTGAATCCCCACATACAAACAGAGCAACTAGAAAGTAAACTCAAAAACCCAGGGATAATATTTACAACGAAGCTATTTGATAAAGTCTCCCCACAAACCTCCAAATACAAAGAATTGAAGACAAACCACCAACAGCCACAAGACTTGTTTTTTATCAGTGTCTAAGTGAGAAAAAGCAGAAGGAGGCAATGAGTTGTCTGAGACTTGAGAACAGAAGTACAAAATAGCCGGCAGGTCTTCACTGGAAAGCACTGAGAGACAATTTGTGAACAGAAGCTGAAACTGGGGAAAAGGGGGTGTCTACTCCAAATAGCAGGTTAGTATAACGGGTCCACAGTAAGGTCTTTATGCCTGGAGCAGTCTACTCCTTTTGAACTCTTGAAACTGATATTGTGGGCTCCCTTCCAAGACAAAGCTCCACACTTAGGAGCAACTTCTGAGAGAGGAAACAAAACTGGGTAGGATAGGGACAGACAAGATGAAGTAAAAACAAGGTCCAGATAGAAGTGCCAGAGCCTAACAGTCAGGAAATCTCAGAACACCATCCACCATATTTGTTAATGATACAAACACATAGTTTAAAAAAAAAAGGAGGTGGGAGGGGAGCAGCATGATGTTAGAACGCCTATCTAAACCAAGTCTCTTTCTGCAAGTTTACGAAACTAGTTTCACATACAAAATGAGTAGAAGTATTAAGGTTGAATCCCATACAAAGCTGTAACAAGAAAAAAGAAACAGGGTAAAATGATACCCCTACAGACAATGAAAGCATGCCAGAAAGAGATACTTGCAAAACAGATCAAACTGATCTTAAGAAAACGATATGACATGAAATATACATATATCTATATATACCTACCATCATGAATTGTGTCCCCCCAAAATATGTCAATAATTCCCAATATTGTGTGGTTCTCTATTTTGTGATTGTAACTTTATGTTAAAGAGGATTAGGGTAGGATTGTAACACCCTCACTAAGTCCCTGATCCAACGCAAAAGGAGTTTCCCTGGAGTGTGGCCTGCACCACCTTTTATCTCACAAGAGATAAAAGGAAAGGCAAGCAAACGGAGAATGTGGACCTGATACCATCAAAAAAGCAGTGCTGGGAGCAGAGCGTGTCCTTTGGACCCAGGGTTCCTGCGCAGAGAAGCTCCTAGTCCAGGGGAAGACTGATGACAAGAACCTTCCTCCGGAGCTGACAGAGAAAGCCTTCCCCTGGAGGTGACACCCTGAATTTGGACTTCTAGCCTACTAGACCGTGAGAGAATAAACTTCTGTTTGATTAAGCCATCCATCTGTGGTATTTCTGTTAAAGCAGCACTAGATAACTAAAACAGAATTTGGTAATGAGAGAGTGGGGTGCTGCTCTAACAGATACCTAAAATGTGGAAGCAGTTTTGAAACTGTGACTGGATAGAGGACCAGCAGCAGCAGAGAACTGGCAGCGGCAGAACCGCATGGTTTAAAATCAGGAAAGGTATCTGTCAGGGTTGTAATCCTTTCACCGTATTTATTCAATCCATTGCTGAAAGTGAAGAGAACTTGAAGCACTTACTGATGAAGATGAAAGGCTATAGCCTTCAGTATAGATTACACCTCAACATAAAGAAAACAAAAATCCTCACAACTAGACCAATAAGCAACATCATGATAAATGGAGAAAAGACTGAAGTTGTCAAGGATTTCATTTTACTTGGATCCACAATCAACGCCCATGGAAGCAGCAGTCAAGAAATCAACGACGTATTACATTGGGCAGATCTGCTGCAAAAGACCTCTTTCACGTGTTGAAAAGTAAAGATGTCACCTTGAGGACTAGGGTATGCATGGTGTTTTCAATTGCCTCATATGCATGTGAAAGCTGGACACAGAATAAGGAAGACCTAAGGAAAACTGGGGTCACTATGAGTCCAAAATGACTCGACAGCAACAGGTTTTATTTTTTATTTTTTTAAGGAAAATCGATGCCTTTGAATTAAGGTGTTGGTGAAGAATACTGAATATACCATGGACTGCCAGAAAGAACGAACAAATCTACCCTGAAATAAATAGAGCCAGAATGCTCCTTAGAAGCAAGGATGGTGACACTTCGTCTCACATACTTTGGACATGTTACTAGGAGGGACCAGTCCCTGGAAAAGGCTATCACGCTTGGTAAAGTACAGGGTCAGCAAAAAAGAGGAAGACCTTCAAGGAGAGGGACTGACACAGTGGCTGCAACAATGGGCTCAAAAGTGGCAACAATTGTGAGGATGGTGCAGGACTGAGAAGCGTTTTGTTCTGTTGTACATATGACTCGGAAAAGACTCGGTGGCACC